CTCTTCTTGTGACTTCCTTCCTCCTTTTTGCTTATCCCTTCTGTATAATTTAACATTATGGTGCACAGCAGAAAATACAGGAAGTAAGAAAGTCTGGAATTTGCATATGGAATAACTTCCTGATCTTGGACAACTTTCCTCACTTCTCCCAGGCCTTATTGTCTTCATGCCTAATGTTGGAATGATTGCACACACAGCCTAGAAGGACAGTAGGATGAATTGTGTTATTCGAGGGAGTGCTCAATAGTTGAGTGTTAGTCATTCACTTGACCAAGTTAAGGCAGGGCTCAGAATCATTTCAAACTGGTTCAGTCATGGTCAGTGGAATAGATTTGGAATAGATCCTAAATGTGAAATTTTTTGGTGAAATGGAATGATAACCAGAACAGGAAAAATTATGGGTCAAAACCTTAAAATAGGAGACATTGCAGAGGCATAGTGAGGCCTTCAAGGAGCCTGGTGTGAGAGAATTAATTGTTGGACATGTGGAGAATAATGCATATTCAAAGGTCCATGGTCTGTCAGCTACTCTCTTTGAGCCAGGCAACACAGTTTTTTACTCTGGTGGCCAAGAGATCTCGTTGCTATACAGCGTACATGCTGCTTTTCTAAGACAAGGATTAAATTTCTAGCAGGGTATTGACCTATAATTTTTTTTCTATTCGATCTCACTCATATTTTACAAATTCCTTTTCATTGATTTGAGTGAACCAGGAAGAGCTAGTTTGAAGCCCAGGTTGAAGCTGCTGCCTGCAGTTCAACCTTGCAGGGTTTCTGAATGTCAGTGGTTATTGTTCAGGACTGGAGAGGAAAAAGTGTGGGAGATGTATCTGATCAAGGTGGTTTCTCGTTATTAAAGTTAGTTTTGTTAAAAAAAAAACAAACAAAAAACATGAACTTGATGGAGTTTTTATTGGGGTACTGCAGGGGCAGGAGTGGAAGGTAGTTTGTTTGGGTTTTGTTCCTGGTTTTAACTCCTCTCCTCCAAATGAAGTACGGAAAAACTTACTGACTTTGGCAGTCAGGTTACGTTGGCACCATTGGTTCTCTTCTCAGACTCATCTTTTGCCTTTTCAGAAAGGGAGGCAGGTGGGATACTTGCTCTTAAACTGCTCATGGACCACATACATTCCGTGTATCTATGAATTATGACAGATGAAGGCTTGGCTACATTTCATTTGTCTCCTACTCACTCTAACTCCACTGCACCATGCTCTTACTCCTCCGTCCCTCCTCCTGCGTTGCCCTATCTGCTCCTCTAAACTAGGCCACGTCTCTTCTCCTGCCATCTTGTTGGTTTGGGGTTTTTTTTTCTCCTCTCCTATCACCCTTCTTCATGCTCCACCCTTTTCTCTTGCCTGGTCTCGTACTCCCTGTACCCCCACCCCTGCTCACCACCCCCTTTCTGAGTACTCTTGCTGTACCATTAATGCCTTCATTGATACAGCCCACAACCTCATGATTATTCTGAGGTCAGGAGATGCAGGTGCCATGCTTCTCGCTACTGCTGCTCAGAGGGCCTCTGTCCCCAATCCCTCCTGCTCGACAGGGCCAGAATCCTAATGTGTCACCAGCCTTGTCGCTTGTTGCAGCACCACCAGGAACTTTCATCTTTTTATTTCCCCCTCTGAGGATTCTGAGAGTTCAGCCACAATGATGCATTGATCCAAGGAGAGGGGGCTGCGGGTCTCACAAAGAGTCCCAATGATGAGACACGAGAAAGGGGGCGCTCTACGGGGTTAGAGAGTGCCTTGCAGATGGGAACAGAGGAACTCTAAATGGGATACTGTCCAGTCACTTGGAGAGGGAGTGACAGGGGCAAGTGTGGGCCATTTGAAAGAGGCATTTTGAAATGACGCTCTCATCAGATGGAGCCGTGCAATCAGAGACGTGTGGAGGGCCCCTGCTGCTCACAAAAATATCAGATGACTCATACCCAATATTCAGTCAATGTTCTGGTTGGGGAGGTGGGAGCCACATAGCTCATTATTATTCCAGCTCCATTTCCTGAAGGCTGGGCCTGCTGCTGTTCTCCAGGCTGTAATAGGATTGGTCTCACGAAGCAGACTGGGGAGACCTGGACTCGTGTGGGTGGACAGTGTCTAAAACTAATACGGCCGCCTCCAGGGAGAATGAGAATGGGGTTTTCTTGTAATGAAAAAGAAGAAAAAGATTAATTTTTCTTTGTTCATTCATTCAGCAAACATTCATTTGTTCAGCAAACATTTAAAGAGCCAGATTTGGGACTAGATATTCAGGGTGGAAGGCCTGGCCCTTTTTAAGCCCCAGAGCCTGGAGGGGAAGTGGTCAGGGAAGGTCAGGGATTTCTAGACAGTCTTTTAGGTATTGTGAGATTGGTTTTATTGCCAAGGGCGGTACAGGGGACTTAAAAGTAGAGCAGTTTCTAGGAGCAAGTATACTAATTATTCATTTTTTTTTTCTGGCCACCTCTCAGCTGATAAGTAAGTCATTTAAAGAAAAGCATTCTGGAAAGCCATTTCAACAGTATCCATTTTCAAATGTCCCGTATAGCAAAATGGTTTTCCCAAAACTTGGAGAGATAGTGAAATCCCTGAGAGTGTCTCAGTGCCTTCAAAGGAATAGCTTATTCACTGAGAAAAGAATGCCTATTATTATTACCTTCTTAATGATTGCTCTACACCAGGCTCTGTGTTAAGCTCTTTAAATATATTATCTCAGTGAATCCTCTCACTAGCTGCATAGGATGGGCTTTATTATCCTCATTTTAGATATGAACACCAAGGCTTAGAGAGATGGAATGTCTTGTTCCTGGTAGCAGAACTAAGATTTGAACTCAGTTCAGCTTAGGCAAATGTCCGTGCTTTTCACTTTAGGCTCCAACACCTACCCCTAAGTTCTTGGACTTAACAGCTAGCATTCAGCAATGGAAATAATGAATGGATGAGTTGTTAATACTTTATACCACACATCCTACCATGCAAAAGTGTTTCTATTAACAACTGTGGAAAAATAGGTGTTGTGTTCCCTGTGCCACTCTCATCAGCATCACCATAACACTTTGCAGTCTTAATAATATATGCATGAATAACAGCAGTACACCTCTTTGAAGAAGTGCAGCCCAGGTGCTCCCTAGGAACAAGGATCTTAAAGCTTTCTCTCACATACTTTGGGTATGTTGTCATGAGGGGCCGGTCCTTGGGAACAGACAGCATGCTCAGAAAGGTGAGGGGTCAGAGACGTAGAGGAAGCTCCTCAAACAGATGGGTTGGGACAGTGACTATAACAATGGACTTAAGCCCAGCAGCGTTTTTGAGGATGGTGCAGGGTCAGGTAAGGTTTCCATCTGTAGGATACGGAGTACCTGTGAGTCACAGTCAACCCACAATAACAGTGAGCGAGGAGTCTCCTCTCCTTCCTAGTTACATGGCTTTGAGTTCATCGCTCTGCTTCAGGGCTTTTTGCCACATTGATAAAATGGAGCTGATGTTCCTCTTATACTACTATTACCCATAAAGTTTGAAGCTCAGAATTCACATAACAAAGAATCCTGTAATCTTTGCAATAGGCCTTGGTGGAGGTGGTAGTGGTGGTGGTGGTGGTGGTGGTGGTAGTGTTGGTGGTGGTGGTTGCTGTGTGCAGTCAAGTCCAGCCCATACCTGACTCTTAGTGGGTTTTCAGAGGCAGATTGCTCATCCTTCTTCCATGAAGCAGCTGGCAGATTTGAACCACATGCCTTTGGAATTGCAGCACAGCTTCTAGCCACTAGACTACCAGAACTCCTGGAAGAAATCTTCGTAACATCACCTCAGCTCCTCTGCAGAGGAGCAAGGACTTAGGCAATCTCTGACCAACCTCAAGTCCCAAGCTATTTCCAGGATATTGTTGTGAAGCTCAAGTGAGAAAAATAGGAGTGAATGTTCCTTGTGCAGGGTGAAAAGTGCTAGACACATGTAAGGCATTATTCATAGCACAGAAGACAGCCAGGAGGTGATTGCACAGAAATGAGGAAAGATGAGAGGCCTCTGAGCTGAGTGCTTTACATATTTTTACCTATTCTTCTGTTGCTTCTAATCTGACGGGGGATCTGTCTTCATTGGAATGGTTCAGTGATTGGAATCAGGGCAAAAACTTAGATATCTTTCATAATCTCGAGAACTGGTAGGGTGTAGGACTTAGAGATAGCTGAATCAGAAATCCCAGAGTTGAGGTTATGAAGTCTGAAAAAATGTGAGAAATAACAGCTTCCTGACACCTTAGGAAAAGTTACTGTGGAATCATATAAGATAATCAATATAGTAGCACTCTTTGCTCTCTAGAGTACTATATAAAATATAACCCATTTCTAACCAAGTTGTTGGTTGTTATATAAACTTATAGAAAGGATCTGGGAAGAAGTTTGAAACTTCTGATGAGGTTTAATGTCAACTCCTGATTTTCTGCACCTACTGGTCATAAGGCTGGGCTATTTGGGTTCAGATACATTGATTTTTCTACATCAGGCTTATTTGGAGCTAATGTATGATGGAATTGGAAAGGCCTCAAAGAGTATTTATTACAACCACCTCATTTACTAGATCACATTAAAGTCCAGGGTCATACAACCAGTTTGAGGCATCTTAAGGAACTGCAATAGACTTTCAGAAATTTCAATTAAAAGAAGTAATGCACGAGTAGTTAGTCCATAGGAAGTTGGACAGGCAACTCCCTTTCAGTGATTTGAATCTAGTAGTCTTTCCACAGGAGAAAGATGAGCATTCTCAGCTCAGAAAACCAGCAGGAGGGTCAGCTCAGAAAAGGTGCTAATGTGACAACAATGAGGTTGAGGGATTTTGTTTTATTAAAAAAAAATATAATGTATGACTTCTAATTTAAATTCAGTACCTTAAGAAAAGTAGTTTTCCACCTACCTATCCCTTTCATTCTTTGGACAATAACTGTTGGCATTATAAATTGAATAACCGTAAAACCACAGCCCTCTTCCAGTGCTTACCATTCTTCATTTTCCCTCTCTCCTCCAGGACAATTCAGCAGTGGCTTGCCAGGGTCCAGTCACTCCTCTACTGCAACGAGAATGGGTTTTGGGGGACCTTCCTGGAGAGCCAGAGGAGCTGCGTGTGCCACGGCAGCACCACGCTGTGCCAGCGCCCCATCCCCTGCATCATAGGAGGGAACAACAGCTGCGCCATGTGTAGCCTGGCCAACATTTCGCTCTGTGGTTCCTGCAACAAGGGCTACAAGCTGTACCGAGGCCGCTGCGAGCCGCAGAATGTGGACTCGGAGCGGAGCGAGCAGTTCATCAGCTTTGAGACCGACCTGGACTTCCAGGACCTGGAGCTGAAGTACCTGTTGCAGAAGATGGATTCCCGCCTCTACGTCCACACCACTTTCATCAGCAACGAGATCCGCCTCGACACCTTCTTTGACCCGCGATGGCGCAAGCGCATGTCTCTCACCCTCAAGAGCAACAAGAATCGGATGGACTTTATCCACATGGTGATTGGTATGTCCATGCGCATCTGCCAGATGCGCAACAGCAGCCTGGACCCCATGTTCTTTGTCTATGTGAACCCCTTCAGTGGGAGCCACTCCGAGGGCTGGAACATGCCCTTTGGGGAGTTTGGCTACCCGCGCTGGGAGAAGATCCGTCTTCAAAACAGCCAGTGCTACAACTGGACTCTCTTGCTGGGTAATCGGTGGAAAACCTTTTTTGAGACGGTCCATATCTACTTACGCAGTCGGACTCGGCTACCCACCCTCCTGCGTAATGAGACTGGCCAGGGCCCAGTAGATCTGTCGGATCCGTCCAAGCGACAGTTCTACATCAAGATCTCCGATGTGCAGGTGTTCGGGTACAGCCTGAGGTTCAACGCGGATCTCCTTCGCAGCGCGGTGCAGCAGGTCAACCAGTCCTACACACAAGGTGGCCAGTTCTATTCCTCCTCTTCGGTGATGCTCCTCTTGTTGGATATTCGGGACCGAATTAACCGCCTGGCCCCTCCGGTGGCCCCAGGGAAGCCCCAGCTGGACTTGTTCTCGTGTATGCTGAAGCATCGCCTGAAACTGACCAACAGCGAGATCATCAGGGTGAACCACGCGCTGGACCTCTACAACACCGAGATCCTCAAACAGTCGGACCAGCTGACAGCCAAGCTCTGTTAACCCGAGACACCTTGCCGTGGACGTTTCCTTTTGGTGTACAAACACAACAGGACAAAGCAAAGCAAAACAAAATAAAACAAAAACCTTAAAAATTTGTAAAGTGTAATTAATATTCAAAGGAAAGAAGGAGAATCTTCATTCGTTGGAAACTAAAATGTTCTAGCGACTGTATAAAACCGTTGGGCATGTTTGTTATTTCTCTACTTTGTCATGAGGAAGGGTCTCAGCCTTTTGTGGAGCTTGAAGGATGTTGCTTCTTAAGCCTCAGGTGCTGTGTGGAGAGGGGAGAGCGGGGAGAGCATATGCAATGAATTGTAAAGTCCTCTGCTGTGCAGGTGCTAAGATTAAACACTCAAAAGAAAGAGATATATGTAATGTACAACTGCCACTGCCATTTTTCCTTGTGGGAGGAAATGGACATAGATAAAGAAGATATTTCTTCGGTTAAGAGTTTTTCCCCTCTGTGTGAGTAATTCCTTGTTGTTCTTTCTCTTCACTCTCACACACAAGTTGGGGACATGATTATCAGTGCTGTTTTACCCATCTGTTGTCTTTCATTCTGAATAAACTCAAGCTAATTAAAACTAGATAATAGGTAGGATTGGAGGATAAATCATCACACACTCATAGAATGTTAAAACAATACAGAATCTTAGATGGCAGCTTCTCAAACTCTTTCATTTCATTTGGAAAAAAAGAGAAGAAAACTATGCCCATGGTATAGCTTGAGTTACTGATTGACCATGGACTTGAACCTGTGCCTCTGACACCTTCTGCAGTGCTCCTTTTCTTAAATCATGCTGGTTACTTTTATCTTTTTTTCCTCCAAACAACCTGTTGAGGTGCAATATATTTTTTAGCCTTAGGTTGTTTTCAGAGTAAATTTGCCTTTTGGGTTTTGGATGTGTATTGTTGCTATTGTTTTGTATTGTTTTTTAAATCTAGAAACTCTTCCACTTAGATTTTTTTTCTGAAAGAAATAATCTAAGAGTTTCAAGGAGCACATCCCATATAAAAGACAAGATTCTAGTTTGAATAAAATTAATGGGTAAAATAAAATAGGGTATGTTTTAATACTGCATTGGTCTATTAGATAGAATTCCTCAAGCATTTATGAAAATGACTGCTTGGTTTACTCAGAATACACATACATCCACATCCACATATGAAAATAAAATGACACTGCCATTTCTTTAGCATCTAAAGAAAGCTAAAAAGTCTTTGTGTGGAACTGACTGACTTAAGGGTTAAATCTGAAGGAGACTTCTCAAGGAAAAATAAAAGAAAGCTCATTATAAAGCACAGCTACTCAGGATTTGGGCAGACATCATTTCTTAGTCTGAAAACTCTGAGTTTATCTCTGTTAAGGTAGTACTTTCTGGAGGTGCTCCCTGGACACAAAAGTCCTCATTTCTACACAGCAGAGAAACAGAAAATCCTACAGTTTTAGCATAGGAAGAGAAAATACAGCTCCTCACCTCTAAACCTCTGCCAAATGTCAATTTCCCTTTCACCAACATACAGACGTCACCATTGTTCTCTGCCTCGACAGTTCCGAGGACAAGGAGATTAATTATCTCCATCTCCTACATTCTTCGGACTCTTCCTTCACTGGAGGGGACCAGGGGATTTTGTTCCACCTCTTGCTGAAAAACAGATCTAATTAATAGAAAATCCTCATATGCCTTGGTCAGCTTGGTGTCCTCACTTTGATGACTTCCTTGGTCCCAGTTCTGGAATATGCATTTCTCATGGTAATGGTGTCCAGGTAAAATATGAAGACCTATCTCAGAGGACACTAAGAGTGTAATGCTATGGCACAAAGAGAACACTGTCATTGATGCCGTTTATCTTAAGGTGAACATAATAGATGAAAAATTAGTTTATTTAATTGGAAAGATAAAGAAGATAGATTATAGGTAGGTAGGTAGGTAGGCAGATGATAGATAGATATGGATAGATGATAGATAGATCGAGATAGATAGATAGATAGATAGATAGATAGATAGATAGATAGATAGGAGAGTTACACAATGGTAAATAGAGCTTTAATATCCCAGACTTCAATATGAGTTAATACATATTTTTGACAGCAGCATTAGCGTACAGCATGAGCATCACATGGAGCTCTGGTGACTTAGTGGTAATAAGCTGTGCTTCAATCCCAAAGGCACACAGTCCGAATCTACCAGCTGCTTCATGAGAGAAGGATGGCAGTCACCTTCTGAAGTGCGATTAACTGTCTCTGAAAACCCGCTGGAGGGTCAGCTATGAGTCTGTCACAACTTGACAGCTCACAAAACCAGCACAACACATGGACTTAAATTAGACCTGAAATTTTGAAAGGATACCATGTACATATAGGTTGGAAATTCTTTATGCCAGTGGCCTCACAGAAGCTTCTTTGTGAAGTGCAAGATTTTGCAGAAAGCCAATGAATCATCAGATAGTTCTTAAAGACCTACTAAGTTAATGGACCATGTCAGAAATACAAATATTTGTACAGAAATAGTCTGGGGTTTTGAAACACTAATGAAAATTCAGACATATAAAACTAATAATTACAGTGCCATCAGGAGGGCTATTGTGGAGGGAGCCACACACACAGGAACCCTAAAGAGGACATTAGCTTTGTTTCTGGTTTGGGGAAAGACTTCATAGAAGGCTAGGCTCATGCTCAGCCTTGGAAATGAATAGAATTTAGAGAAGGAGCGAGGAGCAGAAGGGACAAAGGAACAGTGAATACGAAAACACAATGCTATGAATATGCATGGTATGTTTGAAGGTCAGATATAATAAGAAGAGGAATAGGAAGAAAACATTTTAAATGGTAAGTCCAACAAAGGAAGTAAAGATTTCAGCGCTACATGAGAAGTGGAACTAATCATCCATAACCTTTATGGCCTAATGGATGATATCAAGTTTGATTATTTCTAAGTTACCTCTCTTCGCTTCTCCTTTCATCCTCACCTTCCAAGCACTATCCAAAGTCTCATAATAACAGCTCATAATTGAACAGCACTTTACGGATTGCAAAGCAATCTCATATGTACTTTACTACCTAATCCTTATCATAATTAAATTAGGGTCTTCAACCTGAGTTATTCTCCAGACTTCAAATCTATATACATAGGGGGAAATTCTCTTCCCTTCACCTTGAAAACACTGAGTCATTTTCTAGAACAAAAGGATTTCTGCACTGTTTAATGATTGAAAGCGTCAAGAAATAGAGAAACTTTCAAGGTGAAAGATTCCAACATCAAAATATTTATTCTAAGGTGAGAGGAAACACTTCACTGAAGGAACATGCAGAGTTTGGATTCCTATTGCGTCCTGCTTTTGGAAAGAACATACGGAGTTCCTTCTTGCTGAAGGAACATACAGAGTTTTGGATTCCAGTTGCTTCCTGTGCAAAGGCTGGCCCTTTGAGCTAATAAGGTTCCTCTCCAGCTGGAAGGGAAAGGAGCCTGAAACCTTTGAGTTTTAATTCAATTACAATCTTATTGGTTTGATGCAGCAACCAAGGACCGATGGTGTCTGATTAATATGCTGAGGCTAGGGCACAAGAGTGAGCAGAATGCCCATTTGGATAAGGCCTGGCAGCAAAGCGTGGCATTGCCATGGAAACCAGAGAAGGTCATTAATTAGCTATCAAATAAAATCATTGGAAAATTCTGGACCTTGGCATATCTGCCCTCTTCAAAAAGAAGGGCAAGCAGAGGATCTCACTAGCAGGAAGACTCTGTGGTGATTAAAAGTATAGATGGTCATACAGAGACTGTGTAGCACAAAATGGGGGGAAATGGAGAAAGTAAAGCCAATATGCACTGTTGAAGAAAAGAGGCTTCTGGGGTTTTCAAGTCCCAGAATGTAACTTGGAATGTGAAGTATCTTTTGGGGTTATCCAAGCTGATACAGTTATCTTATTGACAGATATTTTCCCCCCACTATTCTATCTTCTGTAGAACTAAATTGCAAATAAAAATACGGGTCTACTAGATGGAATAAATGATCAGGGAAAGAGACCAAGAGTCAAAAGTAGGCAGTGATTAACAACTGAATGGAAAGATGTAGAATTTTAAGACTTTCAACTTAGTAGAGAAAATTTTGTTGGAAAAACTAACAGGGTTCAAGAGGAAAAAGGAATCCTTAAAACAGCATAACACATAGAAACATAACAAAACTTACTGTGCAAATACTGTAAATATGAAGGGATCAACCCAGTTAGGAAAAAGTCAGAGGTTGTCTGATTACAAATCGTACATTAAAAAGTAAAATAGAAAAATGTTTAACATAAATGAACAAAGATGTCCAGTAATTATTAACACAAAGGAAGCAGATGCAATTGCATTAGTAGCAGTCAAAATAGACTTTAAGGCAACATGGATTATCAGGATTAAAAAAAGCCAAGTTAGAGAGAAAGACAGGAGTGGACAAATAGAATCATAGACTCTAAGGCCTAAAAGAGTCATTAAAGGTCATCTAACCCAGTCCTGCAGCAGATAAGAATTATACCCATAATATTTCCACTGATGAGTTCTAAAATCTCATATGCAGATGATGCATACGATCTACCAGTTTCCTATCCATCTATTTTGCAATCTCACATGCATATGTTCTCATTCTCTTTGTATGTATGTGTGTGTGTATGTGTGTGTGTGAGAGAGAGAGAAAACACATATGTGTATATAACATTTGTAATTGTTAGACTGGTCAGCTTGGACTCAGCAACCTTATGCATAATGGATCAAAGCATTACTGCACTGTGTTCCATAAGCCCACTGGGGTGCCCTTGCTGTATGAAGGTTAAGTGCTCGGCTGCTAACCAAAATGACTGGTGCTTCAAGCACAGCCTGTGAATCATCTATAGGAGAAAGAACTGGTGATCTATGTTTGTAAAGACTGTTGTTACTGTGTAACATCGAGTCAAAACCGACCCATGACTGACCCTCCAATGGATTTCCAGAATCAGTTAATTGCATGGGTGGAGACTGCCCGTCCTTCTCCTGCAGAGCACCTGGTGAACTCAAACAATGTGCCTTGGGGATTGCAGCACAGCTTCTTGCCATTAGGCCACCAGGACTCTGTAATCTTTGTAAAGATTATAGCCAAGCCCTAGGATTTGTGCGAGGAGTAAAACGTAGAAAGGCCAAACTCTGTCCGCTGGAGCCACTCT